AAACACGGGCCAATTTATAAATTGCTGGGGTTTTAGTAGAAAATTCCGAATAATAAGAATATGGGCCATTACTGACACAATAAGGCAATAAACACGGGTTAAGCATGAATTAAAAATAAAAATACAGACCTGTCACCCTGCATTCATGTAACTTCTAAAACAAAATGAATAGATCTGCGTGCAGTTAAGGTGACACTGCAGACAGTCTTGTCTTTACCAGTGGATAAAAGGATTCAGATACTCAAGTACCAGTGTGTAAAATACTAATTACAAGCAGTTAGTCAGCGTTCAAAATGTTCAGTAGACATGCAAAAATGTTGTGAGCAAAACGTTCATAGGTCAATTAAAGTAAATAAGTAGCAAACTGACATTACTATTATACAATACATTAGAGAAGTGCTTTCTGCCTGATGTTACTCTGCATCTATGGGTTACTGATGGAGCTGCACGTCTGCTTTATTATTCTGTCCTCACAGTGGCGTCCCTTGTCCAAAGTTAGACAGATAGCGAACAAAAACTCCAACAAACTGTGTTCTTGAAAAACGTGTGGCTTTACTGATTGTTTCTGTAAAACTGAAACGAATACAAAGATAGGCATCGACAACTTACGACGCATGTGCAAGAAATATTCCATTGAACCAAGTGTACACGATGTATGTTACACACTAATACACTATGTACGTTACACATTACACTTGTGCAACTTTAAATAAACTGGCTCCTTGCAGTTATGGTGACATTGCAGACAGTCTTGTCTTTACCAGTGGATAAAAGGATTCAGATACTCAAGTACCAGTGTGTAAAATACTAATTACAAGCAGTTAGTCAGCGTTCAAAATGTTCAGTAGACATGCAAAAAATGTTGTGAGCAAAACGTTCATAGGTCAATTAAAGTAAATAAGTAGCAAACTGACATTACTATTATACAATACATTAGAGAAGTGCTTTCTGCCTGATGTTAATTATCTGCAGCTATGGGTTACTGATGGAGCTGCACGTTTGCGAACACTCTGAAAAAGTTTGTTGTAGTTTCCGTAACAATTTATTTTTTGAACATCTTTAATATCAACAAGGTGTTGGCCTAAATATTGCAGTAAACATCTTTGAAAGGTGTCAAGACTCTTGATACGAGTCCTGGCATGAAGCAGTAGAAGCTGAGATGATGTCTCTCTAATCAGCCAGTCCTCCAGGAAGCTTCATAACCAGCTGGATGGCAGACAAGTGCTGGATTCCATATGAAGACAGTGGAGTGGAGTCATTGTCCAGCCTCTTGTTCGTGTGATCATTTCACATCAACAAATTACTAGTGTGTGAAAGACTAAATCATTTTGTAGTGAAAACACTAGTACAACAATAATTTCATGTTACGGACATAACAGTAGCTACTCCAAGGCGTAAACATTGGTAAACACCAACACTGTAGGCTGTCCATCATTTTACCTGAGTGGAGGAAAAACAAACTTAACGCCAAACCAACCACTAGGGGGAAGTAAATGAACAAGATTTCCAGCACACAAACGAAAACTGAAAAAGTTTGTTGTAGCTTCTGTAACAACAATTTATTTTTCAATATCAACAAGGTGTTGGCCTAAATATTGCTGTAAACGTCTCTGAAAGGTGTCAAGACTCTTGATACAAGTCCTGGCATGAAGCAGTAGAAGCTGAGATGATGTCTCTCTAATCAGCCAGTCCTCCAGGAAGCTTCATAACCAGCTGGATGACAGACAAGTGCTCGATTCCATATGAAGACAGTAGAGTCATCGTCCAGCCTCTTGTTCGTGAAGATCATGTGCAGCTCAGTCTGTTCTACACTTCTGTTCTACTTCACTCTTCTCAATTTCACCCTTTAATTTATGAGTATTGAAAGCTGAAGGGGTGTTTTTTTCCAACGGGATCCGACGTCACCAAAGGGCTGTCGTTTTGATTTATACAATACAGGTTAAGAATAAGGATGCAACGTATTTCAGCTTTTTAAAAACGTGACCGAAAGGAAACGGAGTGAAAGAGAAAAGGCCTCCGACCCTCGTCTGCAGCCTCTCATTGTTTATTATTTCACAGGAGACGCAGACAGCAACATAAGATGGGCTCGTATTTTTCAACTCCACAGGAGACGTGTACTACACAGGAGATATGTATTACACAGGAGACGTGTACTGTGCAGAAGAAGCATACAACACAGGAGAAGTGTGCTACTAATGAGAAGTATTATGACCCCCACGACTCGTCTCTTAAATTTGTGGACAGGGAGGATGTGTTGGATTGTAAGTAGGAGACTCAGTCAGTCTCATATATTTTCCATAGCAAACCATCATGTTATAGACTAGTCTAAAATGTATAACTATAGGGAAACAAAATAATACATTTAATTTGGTGTAACCTCGTCTTTTGTTTAAATCTATTCCGTTTTCTTTGTGTTTCTCTCAGTTCTGTGTGAGGGATTCCAGTCTCCAAGAGCCCTGATGTCCTGTGGCCACGCAGTGACCCCGATGTCTCTCACCAACTGGTGTTGCTGATTATTGTACGAGGTGATTAATGTGCTGTAGAGAGATGTTAATGATGATTTACATTTGTTCTGAATGCCCTATACTGAATGGGCCAGTTCGATTTAGGGTGTGTATTATAGTAAAATCTTTATGCTACTTGTTCAATTCTTTATTCTACTAGTTTTTTTAATTCGGGGTTATTTTGGAAATAATTGTGTGGCGCTGTTCGCACATGCAGCTAGCCTATATGGTTTTTATTTGTTTATTTAACAGCGCAAGAGAAGCAGTAGGAGGCAGGATTTTTTTATTTCAGTATTTTTACATTTTTTTTGTAATGGTAAAAGGTGTATAGCACTTTTCTACGCATTGAAACGCATTCAGAACAACTAGATTCGGTATCTTGCTCAAGGACAACTATAAACGAAAGCAGCAGATCCAACCTCCAGCCCATATGATTGAGATACGACCAGTGTTTCCAGCTCTACCTCCTGAGACACAGCCCCCCAGTGAACCTTATGACATGCAACAGGCTGCTATATGACTGAACAAGCTAAAAAAAAACAATAGTGATTCTTAAGAGGAATCGATATTTGAACTTTTTCTGAATCTTAAGTTGCTGCTATTAAATAGGTAGTGTAGGTAGAATTGAACCATTATTATATATTTTATTTGCTGACTAACATACTAATGTAACATTTAATCTATTTGCATGCATAGCCTATAAGCTAGCACCCAAATCCTATTCTTCAGTGTAACAACCTCTGGCTAATACTGACTACTTCTTGCCAAGATCAGCTGTTCTTTGTCTGCGGGCAGGTTCTCATGTAGATGCTTCTCATTGTTGAGTCATAAGAATTTGCAAAATGCTTGGTAGCTTGTCTCCATCTTGTGATGCTGATGAATCATTTTCTTTTCAGAACCGTGCAAGCAGATTTGTGTGTGGCCAATCTGGCTGTAATGTTGAATGGCCTTACGAGGAGGTTTGTAAAATGGCTCTATTGACCCCTGAAGAAATGAAGGACTTTGAAACAAAACTGGCCTCCAATGCATTTCCTATGAAATCAGTAAGTCTCTCATTAAGACTATAGTACTTAATAGCTGTAGCCTACTTGGAAACTAGCTTAAATTTGCTATTTAAATTTTCATCTGAATGATACAGAGCTATACGTTGTGTCTGCTTTTGCACTTTATGACTCTTTGCAGCATTAACAGCTTTAGTAATTACAAAGTACAGATAGGTTTTTCCCACCATGACACCTCCTGGGCTCCATAGAATGTTACTAACATAGTGAAAATTTAAAAATCTCTCTGTTTAACTTTAACACCTACTACATCATAGTGTCCTGGATGCAGATCTTCAGTCGTGAGAAAGAATGAATCTAATCTGAGGGTCCACTGCACAGTGTGCACAACCAACAAAGGACGGACCTTTGAGTTCTGCTGGCAGTGCCTGAAGGAGTGGAAGGGTCCAGCTCCACGTTCAGACCGCTGTGACAATGATGGCTGCTGCAATGTGGCACTAAAACTATTGAGAGAATGTTCAGATATAAGCTTTGAGTCTGTGAAGGGGGTCGAGGGATGTCCCTCAATCCGATCTTGCCCAACATGTGGGGCACTGGTGGCGCACTGCAGAAAATACTGTAAAAATGTTGTTTGTCCCCGATGTACGGTGGAGTTCTGTTTTGTGTGCCTGAAGCTCACTACAGAAGAAAATAGATCTCAAGGGCTATTTCACACTTTGCTCCAGTGGTGTTGCTCCTAGACAGACATCCATACCGGTGTGGCAAAAATAATGTAACCAGCACTGAGCTGTATACGTTTATGCTTTTTTATGTAAGAATGACTTGCATGTATACGTGTGCCTTTGCTGTATTGTCCAATTTTTGTGGTTCTAAAATCTTATTTCTTCAAACATCTGACAAATAAACATTTTGCTTGTGAGAAAATTGCTGCCAAACAATCATATTTGGAACGTGCCTAAATTATAAGGATGGAAATTGTTCTATTTATTGTAAAATAAACAAGTTGTCAAAACATAATTTTGTTAAAATGAAGGTTTTAAGAGAGCCAGATTTTGACATTTGATGTAGAACATGAATGCAGTATAAGTAGCAGGAGGCAACAAAATCATAAGTTATAGAAAAGGCCACATTTGTATATCAAATATAAGAGCATTTATCTATATCCAGACCTCTGCCACACTGTCCCTATAAGAATGCTGCATGTAGTAAATGTAGATTTGTTCAAATTTGTTTAGAAACCCTCATTTGTTGCCTATTTCTGAAATTCTTCAGCCGCATGTGATGTAAAATTTAATTAGTTTTAGGAACTGACTTTGTGCATGGGAAGAATTGTTCCTTTTGCTGTAGACAATTGGGGCCCTAGTTGAGATCTCGTTCAACACTCAGGACCTGTTGCTATACAATATACAATACAGTTTTTTTTATAGAAAACATTCATGAGCATGTGATGCTCTGTTGATATGTAGGCTTTAGTATATGCATCTTGCACATTAATGAGGCCTTAGAGAACATGATTTTATTTTGTACAACAATTTTTTAAAAAACATCTTCAGAACATTACAGGATCACCGGAATATTAGGGTGACCGGTATACTGAGAACAGTGAGAATCCACTGTCTGTCACAGCTAAACTAGGTTATCTACTCATGCATGAGGTTATTTTGTAGTCATGTACAGTCAGTGGTTGCAAGTCAGTGACTTCTGTGTCGGTCCCAAGCCCAGATAAATAGAGAGGGTTGCATCAGGAAGGGCATCCGGCGTAAAAACATGCCAAATTTAAATCATCAGTGCGAATTCCATACCGGATCGGTTGAGGCCCAGGTTAACAACAACAGCCACCAGTGCTGTTGACCTACAGGGTACTGGCGGAAATTGGATTACTGTTGGTCGAAGAAGCAGAGGAGGTAGAAGGATTCGTAGACAGAAGAGGAAAGGCAGGAGTATAGGTCAGAGAATAGGGACTCTTAACGTTGGCACAATGACAGGGAAAGGTAGAGAGCTGGTGGACATGATGGAAAGAAGGAAGGTAGATATACTGTGTGTGCAGGAGACCAGGTGGAAGGGTAGCAAAGCGCGTAGCATTGGAGGGGGGTACAAACTATTTTATTATGGTGTGGACAGGAAGAGAAATGGGGTAGGAGTGATCCTGAAAGAGGAGCTTGTGAGGAATGTTTTAGAGGTGAAAAGAGTGTCAGACAGGGTGATCAGTTTGAAGTTGGAAATTGAAGGGGTAATGTTGAATGTAGTCAGTGGTTATCCGAAACAGATGCCCGAGCCACCTCAGCTGTGTCGTGGCAAGAGTGAGATACCAACTAAATTAATTCAGACAAACCATTACAATTTAAAGGATCATTTAATATTACAATTATTCTAACTAGAGTAGCATTTAAACAGCTAATCTTGTAGTTAGGAAACAGAGATCAGAGATCAGGGAACAGAGACTCCCCTCTTGCAATGGAATAAGTAAAGCCTAAGAAGGTTATCAGAGCACCAGTCAGTCAGGTCATTGGTTGCCAGTCCCGAGTCAGTCAGCCCCAGTCAGTCGTCGTCTCCCACCAGCCCTCCGAGGCCGGGCT